CTCAACAAATTTTCAATTATGAATTGCTCAATTCCACCAAGCACCTGAAAACTTGTTTCTGTTGCCCATATAGATTAGCGAAAATGCCCACCTCAAGCTTAACTCACCAACTTCACTCTAAATGCTAAGTGAATTGAGGTATCTAAAAACCATGAATACATTATTTTGCGATTTTGTTTATATCATCAAAATATTATTGCGCTAGTCGGTGTGCGTTTTATGGTTTGCAGTACTCGGACAATAAATAGTGGCGTTTTTTATTCGCAAAAATGTTCGAAGGATCTTTGGCCGAATCTTTTAGTTCTAATCCAAATTTCGACTTCGAAGCAATAAATAGGAATTTATTTGATGACTTCAGTGAAACAGATTGTACCATGATATCGAAATCGGAGCAAATGCCTGTTTTTCTTCGCATTAGGCCACTGAACTACAACGAGTCGACAAAGAAAGTTCTTATTACTATTGATTTCAAAAGAGTTGTTCTGAAACCTGCTAATGAAAATAAAGGCCTTCGAGCTGCGCCAGTTGCTTTTGGACAGGCTTCTCATAAATTTGAGTTCTCACGAGTTTTCGACGAGTTTGCTACTCAAAGCGACGTTTTTAAAGTTGTCTTGTTAGATCGCGTGAGCGAATTTCTGGAGGGAATGAATGTACTGATTTTCGCGTATGGTACCACCAGCTCCGGAAAACGTACTCCCTTCAAGGTATATTTTTATTGCTTTTGCCTGTTTTTGTCTCTTTCATATTATTTCTTTTTGTATTTTGGTTTTAATTTTATTCTGCCACGATACCAGTGTCTGCATGAGTTCGATGGACTATAACTGCTATTAGTTATTTTTTTACGCTATATCTTAGTTTTCACTTGTTTTCTCTCTTAAACCTAAGTACTTCTCTATTTCGTTAACATTGTTTAACGCTGGAAAGTTGGTTAGGCTCATGTAGGATTTCAAAGTACGCATATTTTTTACACCCTTGCCTGTTTATTTCTTCTTCTTAACACTTCATTTGTACCTGGAATCTTGAAATATTATTACAATTATTATTATTATGGGTTGATTTTGATAGGAAGGCATGAGGGTGATTAGGTAGTCACTTTTTCAGTTAACTATTGTGTATTATTTTAATTGTGAAATCATCAAGGCACTGATTTCGGATGAAGATTGGAAGTTTATTTATTTATATCTAGCCCTTTTTATGTTGTCAAGACTGCTTGCAATTAGGGTGTTGAGAAAATAAGTTTAATGAGCCTAATCTGTTGAATGTCTCTTTATTAACGGGATGCTTTTGCTTTATCGTGATTACTTTGAGTTATTTGATTTGGCGTCTTTATAAAATCTCGATATCTGTTTCTTACTGCAGGAACTTCAAACAATGCTGGTATGGTTCCTAGAGCACTGGAGTCTATTTTTCGGAGTGCGACTCTCTTGAAACAGCCAGACGGGGCACAAGATGTTAATTCCGGATTTCCCTTTGCTCCGTATGGATTTAATGAAATTGAGGAGCTGAGTGTCCAAGAATCTGAAAAACGCCGCAAGGAGAAGGCTGGCCATTTTACACTTTGTTCGTAGCCATGACAGTGGTGTAATTTTCCTACCCCCTATATGCCCACTCTTTCTCCTGAAGCTTCCTTATATAAATTCTTTGTAGTTGCAATTGTCGCTGTGATTCTCAATCTTCAATTGGGGTCGAAGGTTCAGGGCTCTTGTCAGGTGACACCTTCATGGATGTTCCTCTGGCTTTCAAAGAGAGTGCGGCTTTTGTATTGTGGGTCAGTTTTGTAGAGATCTATAATGAGGTAGTGTATGACCTTCTGGATCCGGAATTTGTGGCTGCAACTTTAAAATCCTCAAACCGACCATTCAAGCCGAGAAAAAATGCATTGGATTTAAGGGCGGACAAAAAGGGGCATGTTTTTGTTAACAGTACTTCTCACTTTACATAATTTGAACTGCTACCAGTTTCTTCACAGTTTTTCTCTAGTTGGGGGATATTGTTTGTGAATATATATATATATATATATATATATATATATATATAT